TTGAATCAGTAACCAAACACAATTAGATTTATGTAGCACTGGCATAAATCTTCACATCAAAGGGGAGAAGGAGTTTCTTCTGCCATGTATTTAATAGAATAATTATGGTTATTGCCTGTGCAGYAGCTTCAGAAGGCTCCTGTGCACAACTCCAGCCCTGGTGCTGTGGATGTTGTCTGAGTGATTAAACAGATCTGTTCCATATTTTAGAGGACGCTTCACCCAGTATTGAGTGTGCATCTCCTGCTCCTGYTACAGCTCACTGGGGCTGCCACCCCTGTCTGCAGCTCTGGCAGCATCAGACAAACATTAAAACCCTTCAGAGCACTGGGAGACAAGGGAGTACAATGATCCTTGCTTTAAAGCTGAGGAAAGAAGCGGAACAGAAACAGCAAAACTCCAACCAGCAGCAGCCCCCTGAGCCAGGGCTGTGAGCTGACACTGCCCACACTGCCCCAGCCACCCCTCAGAAACCTCTAATGACTCCAGCAGGACACAGACATATGGGAGCCCAGCTTCCCCTCATGGCAGCCCCGTGGGCACCCAGATTTCCTGATGAATGAAATCACCAGTTTCATGTTGTCCAAAAGGTTTAAGTGCCACAAAAGTAAGTATCAAATTGGGATCCACAGGCCCAGGAATCTGATGGATTATCCAGATGGATTACTCTTCCTCCATCCCACCACTTCCTTTCCCTGGGATGGGTCAGCACCAACCCAAGTGGCTTTGGTGACAGATGAGTGACGGGAGAGTGGCAGTTCCAGTGTCAGAGCCTGGAGAGATCTGCACACTCTGACCACGTGCTGGGAGTGCTGAGCAGAGCACCAGGTCCCCAGCAGCATCCCTGCACTCCCCAATCCTTTGGGCCACATGGAAAAGGGATCTGAGGACAGCAGCAGGCTGTCCCTGCTCTGCCTGGGAGGAGGACAATGCCACATCAATGAACAGTGGGAGCAAATAAAGCACTTTGCCAATGGCTTCACTCTCAGTGCTCACCCAGGCACTGCTCCTGCTCTCTGCAGTCACACGGGCAGTGGGATGTTGGATTTTCCTCCCTGAGGAGCAGCTCTCATCCCACGCTTTTCCAAAGATTTCTAGGGGCCAAACACAAGATGCAAAGTTAGAACAAAACATTGGAAGTGTTTGGGCTGGGGTTTCTCAGCCAGCCCGTGTTAGAGCTGCTACCATAAAATCTGTTTTCATTGTAAAACCCAGCCTGCACACAAGGAATTGCTGCTAAGCTGAGTCCTTACCCCACTCCAAAGTCTTTCCCTGAGCAGGGACAGGCAGAACCAGAGCTCACCAAGACATGGTGCTGCCACAGCCACCCTGCACAGCTGGAGCCAAGCTGGGRTCCCACTGGAGAACCAGAGCTTGGACAGGAGATGCACCCCAAGGCACCCAGGCTGCAGTGGTGGCTGAGAAGGAAGGATAGGAGTATCCAGGGAAGAGGCAGAGGAAGGAGCAGCACTCAGTGGGATGCAGGGAGGATGTGCCAGGCCAGGCTGTGGGGCTGTTTTCTGCCAGGAGCCCTGTGCTGGGCAGCATCACCTGCTCCCTGTGGGTGCCCAGTGCCAGCAGTGGAGCAGGCAATGGCCCTGCCAGGATCTCCCCACACCTGAGCCCTGCAGGAGGCACCTGCCAGAGCTGAGCACTCCCCGCTTCCCACTGGAATAAATCAGGAGCGATTCCCYGCAGGACAGAGAGATAACGCAGGAAACCGGGAGGAAGAGCAATCCCATCGTGTGCAAGCAACCAGCACAGCACTCAGCTGCTCACAAAACAACCCAGAGTTCAGCTTCAGCATTTCCAGCACCAGCTCTGTGCAAACACTGCTCTGTTTCGAGGTGCTGGGTTGATCTCACTCTGCCTTTGAGTATCGCTGGGGAAAGAGAACCGTGCAAACCCAAACARCTCAGGTGAGATTTCGTTCCTGCCAGCCTGCACTGTCTCAGATGCTCTGGTGTGTGATGCCACTGCACGGATTCATCTGTTAATACGCCATCCAACCCAAATAAACTCCAGCTTCGCTTGGGGATTGATCTCCAAACCAAGGAGCTGTGCTGTTTCCCGGGCAGCCCAACCCCCCGCAGGAATCTGACCCTCCCGCAGCATTTTAACCCTCCCCAGCCGGGCTGGTTTTGCTCGGGCAGCGTTCGGAATTCTCTCTCCCGTGCAGTGCACAGAGGGCAGCTCTGCCTTTCTCCGTTCCGAGATGGAACAACCTGTACCTCTGTCATGCCTGTCCGGGCAGGGGGAGGCGGCTGAACAAGGCACGGTTATCAAACCCTGCTGCTTTAAACAGCCTCTCCCCTGGCTGCAGTCAAAGCCACGCTATGCCGAACGTCACCGGGGAGCAAAAATAGCCGGCACGAGTGAGGGAGGGGCATGCGAGTATTAAGAGCGCCCAGATTTCAAACATACTTGGCTTGGCAGCATGCTCCCTCCCTGCCCCTGCCGCTCCAGATGCGACAGAGCACCGCGATTTCTCCCTCTCTGCCCATGAAGAAGGATTCTCTTCTTTCTTTGTTTCCTCTTCTCCTGTTTTTCTTTCTCTAAGTTTCAGCTTTGATGCTACTAGACTGATTTTTATCTTCTCTCTTGTAAGAAACTTCATCTCCCGGATTTAAAAGCAAGGTTTGAGCAGGAGAAATTAATTTCTGTTTGTAGCTGTAAATATGCATGGTATTCCTGTGGGATGATATTGTAGAGGGAAAGGCAAGATTGGCTGGGAGAAATTGCTTGGACCGTGAGATTCTTGAAGGGCGGCTTGGGATAATGAGCTCTCTGTTGTGCGTGCATGTGTGTGAGTGTGTGTTTGTTTATGACTGCAGCAGTGATGGGAACTTTAACATGATGAAAGTGTTCCCCATTTGGATTAATTTTCCTCCTCTAGCTCTGTGTGGASCCGGGTGAAGTGTCTGAATGGAATTAGTGCTGTCGGGATTTTATGAATGGARAGAAAGGCAGGTTCAGCAGCAGAGGAGCAGAGCAGGGAGATGCAGCGGGCTCAGCTCTCTCCGGCAGGAGCTGTCACTCCAGAGGGCTGCACAGACAGGCACCAGCATGGCACAAATCTGCAACAAATCCCTGGGATGCCAACCGAGGCAGCTGCAATGAGGCATCTCCTGAGCCGGGGAATTTTGCTCCTGGAAATGAGCTATCACCAACACACCGAGCYGATGGCTGCGTGTGGGACCAGCTCCGGGCTCAGCTGGAGCATCCCGTGCAGAGCAGCTCATTCCTGACCGAGGGTGACAGGGATTGGGTGGCAGAGGAGCTGTCACATCTCCTGGAGGAGGATCTGCCACATCTCCTCATTGGGAGGCTCTGTTGCTGCCAGCACAGCTCGGACACAAACATGGATAAAGGGGACAGCGAGGGARCAGGACGGAGTGACCACACCTGCCCTACAGCAGGAGGGCACTGCACAGCACTGCAGGAGCAGGAAGAGGGACTTTTGGGGTTGCAAGGTCCAAGRAATGGACCTCGATGCTGGTGAAGCTGTGGGGACCAGCCCAGAGTATCCTGAAGGAGCACCGACCACTGCAGAACCATCTCTCCCATTTGGATGCCTGTACACACGGGGCTGGGGTGGGAGATGGATTCTGTGTGTTTCTCTTTGTTTTGCACTTTTATCCCGGTTGCTAAGTGAGGAAGAGATCTCCCTCTGCACTGGACTGTCCTCTCTCATACAGGGTTTTTATGGCATCTCTGTAGCACTGTCACCATCAGCAGGTAGAAACAGGGAGAAGGTGAGGGCCCATCAYGAGGAAGATGAAAATTGTCCATCCTCTGGTGCCACAGAGGTCACTGTCAGGGTGACACAAGGGCAGCAGGGGAGGGCCTGGGACTGTCATCGTCCTGCCAAGGAGATAATGGAGGGGAAAAGGCAAAGGAATCAGAGCTGGTGTGGAGACAAAGGGACATGRAACAGATTGGGAAAGCTGGAGATCCCCAGGATGAAACAAATCCAACATGGCAGTAGAACAAGGCAGAGGGGAGTCTTTGYCTGCTGAGCCCTACGAGGACAAGGCAGTCCAGCACGCCTCCCCCTCAGCATTTTCCAAAGAAAGACAGACAAGTGGAATGCTGTAAAACACACCGTGCAAACRCTTCTGTGTGTGGTGACCTTTAGGATGGCACAGGCTTTTGGTATGCCTTAAAATCTGGGCCTTTTAGCTAAACCTTCATCATTTCTCTGAGGTGGATTTGATCTCCTTYTGCTGTTCCCAGAATGAATTCAAAGCAGCACAGTCCTGAGTCTGAGTTCAGCAGAAGCTCCTGTGTGCAGAGGTGCCTTGCATGTCRCAGAGCAAACTCACACCTTGCTGCTCAAGGAAGGTTCACACCCAGCCCTGCCTGAAATAGATTGTTTTACAGACACATGGGAATCCATGGGATGGCACTGCACAAAGAGCACTAAAAACCYTGTGTTTGCAGATGTGTAAAACCCACAGGGAAACCCACACTTTGCTTTATAAAGTGCCTTTTTCTCCACCACTCAAATATTGTTTGACATTGCAGGACTGAGGAGGAGCTTCTCATTCAATRGAAGCTGCTCTGTGAAAACACTGCAGGAATGCTGGACAGGATTTGGAGTGTGTCATTAACACAGAACAGACAATTTGGCTGCAAGTGATAGATCTGAAGTTTATTTTCCCTTTTTCGGGGTCTTCCACTCCTTCAGAGTTGAGAGGTTAAAGCAATCATGCTGACAGCTCTGTAAATCATTGTTATGAATTTAGGAAGGAAGATTTTTTTTCTCCAACACCAAAGTAAGGATTGCAATAAGTGGTTCCCACAAAGTCATTTTTGTCTGTTTTCCATGGACACACCTCACAGCCAGGCTCTTGCAATGAGGGCATAAGCCTTACAGAGCCAAAGRCTTCAGGGACATGCAGGCAGTGCAGGGACAGGTAACTTCTAAATGATGTCTTGTGCTGCTCTGGCAGATTTCTAATGTGTTGGTTTTGATGTCTTTCCTCCAGTGGAGAATGCAGATGGTCCTTGGATGAGACCCCACTAAGAAATGGTTCAACATCTGCCAGCAGCCGCGTTTCTGGGAGCAGGAAGAGCCCCCTCAGAGCCCTGTGACATGAGCAAAACCTCTGGAATTTAAACCCAGGAGGATGTCTTTGACTGAGGAGCTGGAGAGCCTCTTCTCTGCCACCCCKTACATGGTGACAGACACAAGTGAGGACACCCCATTCCCAATCAGACCCAACACCTCCACCAACACCACCGGGGATGGCGCGTGGGCTGCCRGCTCGGTGGAGGACATGATTGCCATCTGCACCATCGGGACAATCCTGTCGCTCATGTGCGTGCTGGGGGTGACAGGCAATGTCTACACCTTGCTGGTGATGTGCCATTACCTGCGCTCCTCTGCCTCCATGTACATCTACATCATCAACCTGGCGCTGGCCGACCTGCTCTACCTCCTCACCATCCCCTTCATTGTCAGCACCTACTTTATCCAGAAGTGGTACTTTGGGGACGTCGGCTGTCGCATCCTCTTCAGCCTGGACTTCCTCACCATGCACGCCAGCATCTTCACGCTCACGGTCATGAGCACGGAGCGTTACTTGGCTGTGCTGAAGCCCCTGGACACGGTGAAGAGGTCCAAGAGCTACCGCAAGGCCATCGCCGCGCTCATCTGGCTGGTGTCCCTGCTGCTCACCCTGCCCATGCTCATCATGATCCAGCTGGTGCAAAGGGAYAACAAGAGCATCTGCCTGCCCACCTGGAGCAAGCTGTCCTACAAAGTCTATCTCACCATCCTCTTTGGCACCAGCATCGTGGGCCCGGGGGTGGTCATTGGCTACCTTTACATCCGCCTGGCCAGGATTTACTGGGTGTCACAGACTGCGTCCTTCAAGCAGACCAAGCGGCTGCCCAACCAGAAGGTGCTCTATTTGATCTTCACCATAGTGCTGGTCTTCTGGGCTTGCTTCTTGCCTTTCTGGATATGGCAGCTCCTCTTCCAGTATTATGAATCCTTCCCTTTATCTCCCAAGGTGATGAAGAACATTAATTACCTGACAACCTGCCTGACCTACAGCAACAGCTGCATCAACCCCTTCCTGTACACGCTGCTCACCAAAAACTACCGGGAGTACCTAAAGAACAGGCAGCGCTCCCTCAGCAGCAGCAGTGGGTACTTCCAGAGGAGGAATCGCTTCCAGAGGATTTCAGGGCGATCCCTGTCCACGAGCAGCCAGCACTGCACAGAGACTTAYGTCCTTGCTCATGCTCCTTTGGGGAACAGCAGTGCCTGAAGGTAAAATATATCTCCAAGAACAATCAACATTGGCTTCAATGTTGCTTTGATTTAAAGTGTACRTTGTAAAGGCGAAGCCTTGGCAGACCCATAATGTGAACACATTTAGTCCAGAGGCTGTGCCATGTGTCTGTTCCCATTTCTCCAGTACCACTGATTTGATGCTAGCAGCACTCAGCTGAACATCTATCTAAATAGCCTTTCACTTTTTATCTTTATATTTTATAGTGTATGTCTCCTCAAGTAGCCATCAATAATGAAAGCCCATAACAGGGCCATGATTTTTAATAGTATCAGCCGTCTGACAACATTTTAAATTATGTTACCCCATGAATGGCTGTAGTTTGCTCTTTTTTTTTTTTCTTTAGCAGTAGTGCTAAATTTGTGGTTGCATGAGGACTGAAAACGATGAAATAAAGAAAAAGCAGCTGCTGTTTCTGACAAACCATGTCATTTGCATTTGGGGTTGGACTGGACAATGTGCAGGAGGCATATGCAGGGTTGTTTGTCCCAGTTTGGGTCATACCCACATTTATTGAGCACTCAAGTGTGTGCTGGGCTGGGCTCTCCAGTCACACAGGTGTGTGCAGTGGCGTTACACACTCGTGTCAGAAGTGACACCTGTGACAGTGCCACCAGCAGGGGACACCCAGCATCCCCTGTCACTGACCCCAAACAGCCATGGGGAGCAGCATCCTCTGCCCTCCTCCAAGGAGGAACTGGGATCCTCTGGTGTTGCTGTCCTGAGAGCATCCACTGGCAAACTGCAAACCCAGCCTGAGGCACCAGACCATGTCCAGGAGGAAAGGACAGAGCGAGAGAAGGGGGTAGAGGAAATGTGATTTTCCCTGGGCGAAGTGATCTTCTCTGAGGTGCTTAATATTCCCAATTATGAAAGTGCTGGTTCTCAGTTAGGGAGACAGCTTTTTCCCTTCACTGGAGGTGATTTTGCCTTTCTGCCACAAAAAGCAAATGTAGTCCTGCCTCCACCAAGAACACGTTGCCTGTCCTGGCTTTCACCAGTGATAAGACATCATTAGTGTAAATATATAATCCATGATGTCTGGCACTTGTCCAGCGAGYGTAAAATACCTTCTCTGGGATGCTGCCAACATCCAGACAGGAGTCCTGTGCRTGCCTCAGCCCTGCTACCTCATTAGCAGGGATCCAAGGATGCAGTGCCAGCACAACCCCGACCAAGGTTCAGAATTAGAGCCAAAGAATGCTGAGCAGTGAGCTCAGAGCTGCARTGGGATGTCCTTTTGGCAGTGAGCTCTGTTTGCTCAGACTGAGCCTGAATTCAGGATTTAACCATCCCTTCAAGGCGTTTAAATGGTCACTGCTCGTGGGGACAGGGCAAGGTCTGCATTCAGCCTCCCTCACCTGGGAGAGTCATTGTCTCTTCCATGGATGGGCTTGAAGTTTGTTCTGAATGGGGGAGATTCAKCCCATGGAGARGGCTCTGCTCCTCATGGCCTGCAGYTCTAATGGAGAACCCACAATCCTGGTGCAGGTTTGGTGCAGGAGCTGGAAGGGTCTCGCTGTGTTCCCACCCCCTGCACACACCCTTTCCACGCTGCTCTTGGGGCTCAGGGTGCTCCACCTGCCCCCTGCTTGCAGCACAGTGTGCCTGCCAGCCCCACTTCAGGATCAGCCCCTTCCTGACTCCAGAGGGGCAGGAATGCCATGGATTTGGCATTTCCTGTGCTGGCAGTATTTGTCAGTTCTCAGACCCTCTTGGGTTGGAGGCACATCAGTGAGAGCCCATTAGAGAGAGTAACACATCTTCACCTTAGCCCATGGGTGGAGGGAAGAGATTTGCTATAAATCATAAAAAAAAACCTCCAAGATCGAATCCAACCATTACCCCAGCACCACCTGATCCATCACACGTCCCCCAGTGCCACACACAGGCACAWTTTGAACACTTCCAGGGATGGTGATWCCACCACTCSCTTGGGCAGCCTGTTCAAAATGCCTGACCACCCTTTCATGGAAGAATTTGTCCTAATATCCAATCTAAATTCCAGAAACCATTTCCTGCTTATATAGTCAGATGTTTATCACAAGTCAGAATGTAAAGTTTAACCTCCTTTTTTTTTTTATTTTCTTCTTCTTTATGTTTTTATTTACTTCTCCTTGCTCAGGAAGAGCCAGACAAGCACAGGATGAGCAATTCCCGTGGTTGTAAAGGAAAGTTACTGCAGCCTGAGCCTTTGGAAAGCACTGTCCATATTGCCTAAATCAGACAGTCAGAATGAAAAGGGATTTGCAAATCTCAGCTCACACCAGTGCAGACAGGGCAGAAGCTGCTGGGAGATATTGGAGCAAATCTGCTTTCAATTATCCAGTCCGACCCTTCCAACCTCAGCAGCTCTGCTCTGACTGCTCCAAACCCTCCCCAGCCAATCCAGCTCACATCAAAGAGCTGCAAAATGCCTTTCACAGCTCTGCCAGCCCAGGGAGCACCCTGAAAGCAGCGTGAGCAGTGTGTTGGGGGCACAAGGCCATGTCCTGGGGAAGGAGCTGGGATTCCCTGTTTCCCTGGGAGAGCACACAGCCTCAGCCCTGGCTGGCACAGCTCATTTCTCATTGGAAGCTTGTGCTGTCTCAGGAGGGTTTGTGATGTGTTTGTCAATGCAGCACAACAAAGCCAGGAGAAAAGGCACCCACAAGGCAGTGCTGATGCTTCTGTCAGTGCTGCCTCATCTCTGAACCATGASATGTTTCATCCAGGCCTTTCCCTTTCCACCCCAGGCTGGAGATGGGTTTTGCTCCTTCAAACACTCACATCCACCAGCACTCAGCTCAGCTCAGCAATAAGGGRATATCATTCCAAGCCTGCAGGTGAAAGCAAGGCTCTGAGCACTTCCCAAGCAGCACGAGCCCAGCCTGCATCCCAAATGAACTTTACAGGGATCAGCCACATCAGATAAAAAACATCAGGGAGCTGTTCTCTGCCTGGAACCAAGCAGAGCTCAGCCACCAGAGCCTGCTGAATATTAACGGGGGTGCAGGAGCAGCCAAAGAAGGAACTGCCTCCCCCAAGACATAGATTAATTGTGTGTTTAATGATAGCTAGAAAATCATTGTGCCTTATTTATTCCTCCTTGCAAAAACCAACCATCAGTCAAAGACCCAAAAGCAGACTTTTGCATAAATAAAATCTGAAATTGGTGTGAAAAAGGAATGTGTATACACGTGGCTGTGCGCTTGCACAGCTCAGACCTGACTCGATTTGTTAGCTTTCTCCTGTGGGGTGGGGCCAGGAGTTCTTTCATGATCCTGAATCCTAAATTTCCCCCATCTGTGAGGTATTCAGTGCCCCACAGACTGGAATCACCAGCTGAACTCCAGATAGTGGAAGCCAAAACACCAATTTTTTCCCCCCCTGTTTAGAGCAATGAAGCATTTAGCAATGCCTCAGAACACATAGAAAGTAGAGCTGTGAATACACCAGGGTTTTCCAAAAGGGCCAGAGTGAGAGGATCAGTGCTCCTACAGCTAGGATAGGCCAGGTACCCACTCTGGTGGCTGAACCAGGCAGCAAAGCACAGCTGGGGCCAGGCAGTGCTCTCAGTCGGATGTGGTCTTTGCCAGAAAAGGATGACGTCCATGTTTACCCAAGCTATTTGCAAATCCACCCAGAAATTTAAGAATCCTTCTGGAAATTCTTTTATTTCTTCTTTTTCCAAATACTGAATTGTCTCSTTTCAGCCTTTAGGAGGCAAAACAGCACAATTTCTCACTTCAAAATGGAGCTTTACCCATCAGTTTGCTTACACTTAATTTTTAAAAGCCTTTTYCCATTTTGTTCAAACCACAGGGCTCTTACAAAGCAGGTCCAAGCAGGAAAGCAGAGAGCAGCCGTGCATCCCTCAGTCCAAACGCTGCCTGGACAGGGTGACACCCACCAAAGTGCCACCCCCCGACAATTCCCAGGTGCCACAGCAATCAGGGGCACAAAYCTCCCTCCTCAGCTGCTGATGGAGTCTGGTTTGAGCTCCCCAACAGCCCCRTGGCCACTCTGAGCCCTCTCCTTGTCCCCACCCTCTCCCGCTGTCAGTGTCCCCCTCGCCCTCTGGGACACAGCAGAGCGGGGGCTCTTCAGCCTCAGCACCCAGAGAAACCTCAGCACAGGCTTCCCGAGGGGAATTTGCACATTTTACTTCCCTTACAGCTCTGGCTGGGAGAGGAGGGGAGATTTAAGGAGCACTTGGTCCCCAGCTCAGTGATTGCCTCCCAGGGCCAGGGCTGAGGGGTGGCATGTGTGACAATTGTGTAACCATTATGTGACAATTCCCAGATTGTCAGGAGATCTCCTTTCATTTCTCTGGGGTGTTTGCTCAGAAACTTCTCCATTCAGTATTTGCTCCAGGGCATTACAAGGAGAGGCCAAAGGCTGAGCAGAGGTTGGAGAACAAATCCTCACCTTGGCAGAGCTGCCGAGAGAAGGCCTTGCTGCTGCCAGCCTGCCCCAGTGGCATCTGCCATGGCTGCCACCCCTGGGTGTCCCCACTGAAATGATCTGAGCCTTCCCCACGCAGCCCCTGAGGAGCTGCCACAGCAGCACTCTCGGTCTGCTTTGGGGAGTTTTCTTTCCCAAAATACACAATCAAATCGTGARCCTCCACACAGCCACACTTCTTCAGATCAAACTCCAGCTGTCTCCAGCGCAGGGGTGAAGAATTTCTTGAAAGAGAAYTATCAGACCTCATCTGTGTTTGGCAGCTTTGCTTTAAAGTGACACTTGGGCACACTGAATATTGTCCTGTGTGCCCTGGAGCCAGGCCAGCTCTGCCTGGGGAGCTGTGCCATCTCTTTACTGCATGAGCTGCCATATCCTGGAATACAGTGTCAGTTCTAAATGATTCTGACCACTTCTGCACCTCCAAATTCAGCATCTCCTCTGTAAGTCCTGCTTAGACCTGAGGATGCTGATCCAGGCACATCAAAAGCGTGGTGGAATCAAGGTCATCAAGGAGACAGTGCAATAGCAGAGAATAAATTCTGCTGCCAGAATACAGAGTGGGTTTGAAAGTGGGCTGGAAATGGCAAGGCAGAGCAAAAGCAGGTGATTTGTTGCTGGCTCCCAGTTTTTGAGTGYAGTAAAGATGAAAACTCATTACAAACGCTGTAAAGAAAAAAAAAACCTTGCATCTTTGAGTGGAAGCTGAGCAGCAAATAAATCCATTGCTGGCAGTAACAAAGGAACTCACTTTTATTCTGTTTTCCCAGGGACAAACACTCCATCAACTTAAAGATCAGGGAATCCACCTTTCAAAACCTTGGAGTCTTCTA